ATGTGCTGAGGTTTAAAGTAAGATCCTTTCCCTTTCCCTTTAGTTAAACCTCAGCTGGTGTAATTAGGGACATCCCCTTTTCTTCAATAAATAGCGAGGAGAAAGCTGAAGACTGCAGAGTGGGGTGGAGATTGTAAACTCTGCAGTCTCTTCCTATTCTCCTCGCGAGTAACTAAATTAATTGTTTCTGTGCCTTCTTTCTTTTCCTGTACGTATGTATGATGTTTTAGGTGCTTAGACCTGACAATAACCTTCCATAATTATTTCTTATTAGTAGAGAGCTGAGACATTTGGCCAAATTTTTTTCCCTAACCGTTTAGTCAATAACTGTGATTATAGGACTAACAGAATAGATAACTTGAATTATACACCCACTCTTTGGTGTTTTAATTAGTGTTGCACCGATGCCATTTTTTGGCCCAGATACCGATACCTGGCTGTGCAGTATTGGCTGATACCGATATCATACCAATACCATCTCTTTCAAATTGATATGTTTGTGTTTATATGAAGAACTGCATACTACTTGGATGTAAAATAATTGCCATCATGGCTTTGTCAAGCTGCTGCCTACCTTTGAGAGAGGAAAAAGACTAATACAAAGTGAATCCAGTAGAACTTTTCATTGATTTTGTCTTTGGGGAATTGTTTTTTTTTTTTTTTGATATTCTTTGTGAATAGTACTTGTACATTGGGATCAATGTTGTGGAATTAATGGTGTTCATCTACATCGGGACAGGGTACGTTTTTGTTTTCAATAGTTTACCATGAAAGTTCTTTTAAATGTGTTGGAATAATTATTTATAAGATACTTAATGTTTGTTCTTATGATGTATAATGTGTGACATATTACTGTTCCAGAGAGGTGTTGCACAAGCAGTATAGGTCAACTCTCAGGAAGTATTGCTCAAGCTTAACGAAACCAGGAGGTTCTCGGACCATTTGACCGCAAGACATTTAAATGCAAATTGACCTGTTCACTGAGGCTGCAAATAGAATTGCATTTCTTGTTTCCTATTCCTTTAGCGCAACCTCAGCTTGTGTAATTAGGGACCCCCCCTAACTTTCATAAATAGCGAGGAGAAAGCTGAAGATGGAGATTTGTAAACTCCGCAGTCTCTTCCTACTCTCCTCACGAGTAAAACTAAATTAATTGTCTCTGTGCCTTCTTTCTTTCCCTATATGTATGTATGATCTTTTAGGTGCTTAGACCTGACAAAATGCAATACAGTGAGCAGCAGCCTTGATAATCTGGCAATCACACTTTTTTACACTTTCATATTCTTAGAAAGGCGTTGCTGTATTTATGTTCCCAGGCTACTGAAAGAAAAGGCAGATACCAAATAAAGTGCATCAGATTACATCTGATTCATTAAAACTTGAAACAATGCTGCCCAGATTAGACATGCTATGTCAGTCAAAATTATCCTTAATCTTAAATCTATTTAATAGATTAAATGTGATGATAAATGTTCTCGAGAGGCAAAAACTAGAAAGTCAAAGAGGCAAGAAACTCAAATAGTATTAAAATTATCTTTCCTCCAGGACATCTTGGCGAACAGTCTTGAGTTGTCAGAGAAAGAGAGATAATCCATGACAGAATCTGAGGATCCTTATCAAGACGTTAGGGGAGGAGAAGAAGTCTGTTTGACTTTGGAGGATAAGTTGAGGAGAAACAACAGAAGTTTACCGCCCCACGTCAGAACTGTGCATTTTCTTAGATGGAGGTTATTTTCTCACTGCTGAAGGTTACATTGTTCACCAGCAGTGATAAAGTCACAATTATGGCGTCTTTTAATGATTCTATTCTCAAGCTTTTTGTGTTATATATATATTTCAATGCTTTTGCTTGTTTTGAGGTAAATAACATCTACAGAGAAAGCTCGGTTTGGCATGAAATCATTAAGATGTATAGTCATATCAGCTTTTTCTATTTTGTAAAAGTTTAAAAACAATCCACTGGACTTGGTTTCCAAGGTTTGAAGACGTTTCACTTCCCCTCCAGGAAGGTTTCTCAATTCAAATGTCTGTTAGCTTTTCAACAGTAATTTCATCGCTGAGTGGCCAAGCTCTGTCTCATATCAGTCTGATTGTTCCTTATGTTCCTAAGAAAGCACTTTGCTCTCAGTCTGCTGGTTTCCCATGGTTCCTATAATTTCTAAAAGTAGAATGGGAGGCAGATCTTTTATTTATCAGGCTCCTCTCCTGTGGAACCAACTACCAGTTTTAGTCTTTTCAAGGCTAGGCTTAAACTTTCCTTTTTGATAAAGCTTATAATTAGAGTGGCTCAGGTTGTCCTGAGCTATCTCTATAGTTATGCTGCTATAGGCTTAGACTGCTGGAGGACATAGGGACCGCTTTTTCCTCATCCTGCTTCATTCTATCTCTATTCTCCCACTCTGCAGAATCTGTTAGTTCAATCTCTAACGTTCTGATCTCTCTGCTTTTTCTAATAGTAGCTTCATCTGGTCTGTTCCTGTTTGGCTGTGACTCCATCCTGGAGAGAAATATCAGCTGTGCTGCTGCCATTAACACTTTTGTTTTTAGATATTGGAGCTTGGTTTGTTTTTCAGTGTAGTCCTGTTTCTCTGTGACGTCGGTGCCGGCTCGGTGCTCGTCTGCCTGGCTGTGTGTTTCCTGGATGGTGGCCGCCTGTGGAGCTGGTTGCCTTTTGTATACCTGCTTCTTTTTGTGTGTCTGCTTCTGTCTCCTCGAACCCAAGTCGGCCTTTGCAGAAGGCAGACTAGCCGTGTTTCCATTTAATCGAAATTCAAATTTTATCGCCATAACTGATGGCTTTCAGTAGAGGCTGCAATCTAGTGCGGACAACAGGTCAGTGATAGAGGAAACTTTTAGGGGGAATCATTTAAAACCTTGTTTAAATAATCAAAATATATCCGTTTTAAAAGGCAACAGAAGTCATCTACATATTTCAAAGCATCTTAGTGTCTTTTTTCCGTTAGTCTGACTGACCTTGAATGCAGCTCGGTGCTGCCGTTATTGTATTTGCTGCCTCGCTCCCACATGCCGTAGTCCGGCACCCTGTAGGCTCTCTCTACACAGAACACCAGATTCTGGATAAAGGAAACCTTTGAAGAAAAAAAACAAAACAAGAAACACAAAAAGGTTTAATATATATAACAGTACCTAACAGTGCTATACACATACAGAGACACTGATTGAGCCGGAGCTGCAGGTCATAAACATGTTCCCGAATGGAAAACACATGACTTATAACCAGCGCTTACACAGATACAAACACACAGGACACGCAGACGCAAGAACACACCGACACAGAACAATGAAGGACCTTTGGTATTGATTTGGGATGAAGGATGTAAGGCTGATTACTGAGGTTAGCAAAGAGCAGGAGAAATCTGAGTTCTCATCAGCGCTCAAGGTGAAAGTCTCCCTGCAGCCACAGTCAAGGTTTAATTAAGTAATATAGTGTGCTGTTACTATATGTGAAGGTGTTGACCTTTTAGATGGCTGCAAGAGACACTGAACTGACCCGGTTCATAACACACCGACTTATTGCAAGATTTTAATTAAAGCGCTGATTTTAAAAACCTCATCAGCAGTTTCTCTAACTCTTTAACGAGGAAGCAGCAGGCCTGCCTTATATGTTTGACATGTTGGTCTTATTAAAGACATTTGGATGTGTTTAGAAATGATGCCGGCTGATAGGGAGATTTTGGAATGAAACAAAATGAACAGATCACAAAATCATTGTTATTTAAACCTTGACATATCTCACCTCATGGGATTTTATCTGTAACCTGCTCCCCACAAAAACAAGATTTCAAAGTTTGATGCGTTTGATACATTAATCCTTTCAATTTTTCAAAGTATTTGTCCTGCATATCAGTGATATGGAAGAGGATTAGGGCCGCTGAGAAAAAAACAGTTAACTGATTTTTACATTTTATTTCAGTTTAGTATGGGAAAAAAGTCAGAATTCCGACTTTTTTCTCAGAATTCTGACTTTAATCTC